AGGTGGCGAATCACATCTCTGCATGTCTGGCAGACATATCAGTGTGGATGACGAATCACCACCTCAAGCTGAACCTCGGCAAGACGGAGCTGCTCTTCCTCCCGGGGAAGGACTGCCCGTTCCATGATCTCGCCATCACAGTTGACAACTCCGTTGTGTCCTCCTCCCAGAGTGCAAAAAGCCTTGGCGTGACCCAAGACAACACCCTGTCGTTCTCCACTAACATCAAGGTGGTGACCCGATCCTGTAGGTTCATGCTCTACAACATTCGGAGAGTACGACACTGCCTTACACAGGAAGCGGCACAGGTCCTAATCCAGGCACTTGTCATCTCCCGTCTGGATTACTGCAACTCGCTGTTGGCTGGGCTCCCTGCCTGTGCCATTAAAACCCTACAACTCAGGAGGAACGGGTTGGGCCGTACTGGGAACACGCACCATTAACTTAGTGCGGGGAGCAGGAACGGGTTGGGCCGTACTGGGAACACGCACCACTAACTTAGTGCGGGGAGCAGGAACGGGTCGGGCCGTACTGGGAACACGCACCACTAACTTAGTGCGGGGAGCAGGAACGGGTTGGGCCGTACTGGGAACACGCACCATTAACTTAGTGCGGGGAGCAGGAACGGGTTGGGCCGTACTGGGAACACGCACCGCTAACTTAGTGCGGGGAGCAGGAACGGGCCGGGCCGGACTGGGAACACGCACCACTGGCTTAGTGCGAGGAGCAGGAACGGGTCGGGCCGTACTGGGAACACGCACCACTAACTTAGTGCGGGGAGCAGGAACGGGCCAGACCGTACTGGGCACTGGACTTGTGCGGGAAGCAGGAATGGGTCGGGCCGTACTGGGAACACGCACCACTGCCTTAGTGCGGGGATCAGGAACGGGCCGGACCGGACTGGTGACACACACCACTTGCTTGGTCCGAGTAGCGGGACTGGGTTTCCTCATAAACCTCCGCTCCCTCTGCTGCCTACTCAGTTCCTCTCGCCGTGCCTCTACACTCTCCTTCTCCCTTAACGCCTCCTGTAGCTCCTCCCTCTGACCAATTATCTCCTGCTCCCTCTGGACCAATAGCCCCCGTAACCTGGTGGCCTCCTCTCCTAGTCTGCAGATATGCCCTGTCGCTGCCTCCTGCTGCCTAGCCTGAGTACGGGGAGTTGGCTCTGCTCTACCTCTAGGCTCCGCCAACCTCCCTTCCAGCCCCCCAAACCTGGTGGCCTCCTCTCCTAATCCGCCGATACGTCCTGTAGCTGCCTCCAGCATCCCCGTTGTCCATGCCGTGTGCCCCCCCCCCAATTTTTTTTATTGGGGTTGCCTCTCGCCTGTCCGACGACGGCACGGTTGGCGCCGTACCTCCTCTCTCGCCAGGGCCTTAACTTTTGCCCATGGCCCTCTGCCCGCGAACATGTCCTCCCAAGACCACCATTCGCCCACCTGGGACATCGCCAACTTCTCCAGTTCCTTACCCGGCTTTTGCTCCTGAACACGCTGCTTGGTCCTGTTTTGGTGGGATCTTCTGTCACGATCGTTATAAACAGCGGACCAAGGCGCAGCGTGATATGCGTACATCTTTTATTAAGTACACAACACGAACAAAACAACAAACCAAACGATGCGTGAAGTCCTAGGTTAATACACCAAAACAAACCTTACGGAACAAGATCCCACAATAAACTAGTGCCAACCGGCTGCCTAAGTATGGTTCCCAATCAGAGACTACGAGAATCAGCTGCCTCTGATTGGGAACCACCCTGGCCAACATAGAAAACACGAACTAGAACGAAACATAGAAAATGCAACATAGACACTACACACCCTGGGTCAACATTAAAGAGTCCCCAGAGCCAGGGCGTGACAGGGATAGGATAAAGTAATCCTTCTACCCACCCCCCCCCTTACCCCACCCCCCCCCCAAAATGTCAGCAAATGTATTGAAAATTAAATACAGAAATATCTAATTTACATAAGTATACCCATAACATAATGCAGCCACCACTATGCTTGAAAATATGGAGAGTGGTACTCAGATATGTGTTGCACTGTCACGCCCTGACCTATATAACTCTAGTTAGTTTGGTCAGGGTGGGCATGTTTAGTTCGATGTTATGGTAGATCTATGTTTAGATCTAGGTTTTGTATGTCTATGTTTGGCCGGGTGTGATTCCCAATCAGAGGCAGCTGTCGCTCGTTGTCTCTGATTGGGGATCATACTTAGGCAGCCAGTTTTCCTGCCTGTGTTGTGGGATCTTCTTTGTGTTTCGGTGAGTTTGGCTTATGTGTGTATAGCCTTCCGACATCACGTTCGTTGACTTTTGTTGTTTTTGTATGTTTATACGGTTTAATAAACATGGATGCATTTCACGCTGCGCCTTGGTCTGACCCGTCCTTCAACGTCTGTGACATGCATTGGATTTGATCCAAACATAACACTTTGTATTCAGGACAAAAAGTGAATTGCTTTGCCACATGTTTTGCAGTATTACTTTAGCTAAGGTAGTCATTCAAAGATCATGTTAAACACTATTATTGCACACAGAGTGAGTCCATGCAACTTGTTATGTGACTTCTTAAGCACATTTTTATTCCTGGAATAATTTAGGCTTGCCATAACAAAGAGGTTGAATACTTATTGACTCAAGACATTTCAGCTTTTCATTTGCAATTAATTTGTAAAAATGTCAAAAAAACATACAGTAATTCCACTTTGACATTTACCAAGCTACCAATTACATCACACTGGAAGAAGTTAAGCTACACTAAAGCTACCCTTAAGAAAAATGTTTACTTAACTAAAGTTACTTTGAAAAAATGGTTCACTACTTCCAAACTACTTTGTGAAACATATCTAAATCTGAAATGTCATAGACTACAAATTGCAAGAACAGATCACTCTGTAGTCACCCACTGGGCACAGACGTCAGTTCAACATCTAGTTTTGATATACATTTGGTTGAGTTGTCAACTAACTTGAATTCAACATGAAATCAACAAAACATTTCACCAGGTCATTGGATTTAGATTAAATAAATATTACATTCCCTTACGTTTATTACTTTTTTTCAAATCCAATCAGTTTTCCACGTTGATTCAACCGTTGATTCAACGTCATCACGTTGAATTTTTTGGTTGAAATTATGTGGAAACAACGTTGATTCAACATATCAGTGAGTACCAATCTTCATATTTTCAAGCATGGTGGTGGCTGCATCATGTTATGGGTATGCTTTTCATCGGCAAGGACTAGGGAGTTTTTTAGAATAAAAAAGGCATTAATCCTAGTTCAGTCTGCTTTCCAACAAACACTGGGAGACAAATTCACCTTTCAGCAGGACAATAACCTAAAACACAACACCAAATATAAACTGGAGTTGCTTACAAGACGACATTGAATGTTCCTTAGTTGCCTAGTTACAGTTTTGTCTTAAATCGGCTTGAAAATCTATGTCAAGACTTGAAAATGGCTGTCTAGCAATGATCAACAACTAACTTGCAGAGCTTGAAGAATTTAAAAAAGAATAATGGGCAAATATTGTACAATGCAGGTGTGCAAAACTCTTAGAGATGTGAGGGAAATGTTGTTGTCTATAAAAGAGATCACCTTGAATTGTACATCTTGTTTCATACATTGGTTCATGTAGGTGCTGGGTAGAGATATGAGGGGGAGACGGTCATGACCCCCTCCTCAGACATTTTGGCAGAACTCCCAGAATATGTCAATAAGTTAAGATATGAGATGCTGCCAGTCACATGCAGGAACCAACCCTATGAACCATGCCTATGTAGCTTTTTGGTATAGCCGTGTATAAGAGAACTAACAGGACTGCCTCGGGAGAGCTCCCGACCAAGGTGCACTATGGTGCATTACGTTTGTTGGAACCTCTCCAGCTTGCTGATAATAAATAATTATTCATTTAAGTTTGACTTTGAGTCCCTGGTGGTAATTTCCACGACAGAGACTTAGCAAGAAAGACTCACAGCTGTAATCGCTGCCAAAGGTGATTCTAACATGTATTAACTCAGAAGGTTGAATACTTATCTAATCAAGATATATTCATGTTTTATTTAATTTTTTGTACACATTTTAGAATATTTCTTCCACTTTGACATTACATAATTTTTTGGTGTAGATCGTTGACAAAAAAATGACAATTAAATCTATTTAAATCCCACCTTGTAGCAAAACAAAATGTAGAAAAAGTCAAGGGGTGTGAATACTTTCTGAAGGCACAAAACATTAGGAACACCTTCTTAATATTGAGTTGCACCCCCCTTTGCCCTCAGAGCAGCCTCAATTAGTCGGGGCATGGACTCTACAAGATGTCAAAAGCATTCCACTGGGATGCTGGCCCATGTTGACTCCAATGCTTCCCACAATTGTGTCAAATTGGCTGGACATGGTGGACCATTCTTGACACACACAGAAAACTGTGGGGCGTGAAAAACCCAGCAGCTTTGCAGTTCTTGACACACTCAAACTGGTGCACCTGGCACCTACTACCATACCCGGTTCAAAGGCTCTTAAATATGTTGTCTTGCCCCTTTACCCTCTGAATGGCATACATACACAATCCATGTCTCAATTGTCTAAAGGCTTAAAAATCCTTCTTTAACTTGTCTCCTCCCCTTCCTCTACACTGATTGAAGTGGATTTAAAAAGTGACATCAATAAGGGATCATAGCTTTCACATGGATTCACCTGGTCAGTCTATGTCATGGAAAGAGCTGGTGTTCGGAATGTTTTGTACACTCAGTGCATATTTTCAGAGTAGCTTCCCCAACACTGCAAGATCCCCATGTTCCGATGTAGGCAACATCGACTTTGGGAAAAACTGTGGGTGTTGACTTGAATCGTTCCATGTGGATACTGGCAAATAGCCCTCAGAACGGAGTTGGGTCGTAAGTCTGCTTCAAATCGGTGTAGGCTATCTGACTGACAATTGTGAAGTTGTATCCAGATACATTTTCGTTCTGCGTTGGGGCTCGGTGGATTTTTAAATGTATTTGGTTTGGACTGATGTTTTCTCTCACCCGTTATGGTTGGTAACGACAGTGATTTTGGGACTTGTCTTGCGATCACAGCGGAGAGGGTCGTGGGATCCGCGCGCCTGTCCAGTGCAACTGAAGGGCAAGACAGCCATAGTTACTGGAGCTAACACAGGTAACGGTTTTGCATGGTGCCACTTGGCATGGGGTATAGATATAGACTTGTTTTGCTTGGAAAGGCTTATCCAATTTGATTCAATAAGTATATTTCTCCACCTAGTGCACAGACAAAAACTCTTAACCAAATGGAAATACAACAAAATCAAATTAATCAGATTATATAAATCATAATTGGCAACCCACTGGGCACAGACGTCAATTCAGCGTCTATATTCACTTTGGTTCAACACAATTTCATCGAAATGATGTGGAAACAACTATGATTCAACCAGTGTGTGCCCAGTGGGGAAATACAGTTGAGGTCATAAGTTTACATACACTTAGGTTGGAGTCATTAAAACTACTTTTTCAACCACTCCACACATTTCTTGTTAATAAACTATAGTTTTGGCAAGTGGGTTAGGACATTTAATTTGTGTATGACACAAGTAATTTTTCCAACAATTGTTTACAGACAGATTATTTCACTTATAATTCACTGTATCACAATTCCAGTGGGTCAGAAGTTTACATACACTTATTTGACTGTGCCTTTAAACAGCTTGGAAAATTGAGCGGCTTTAGAAGCTTCTGATAGGCTAATTGATATAATTTGAGTCAATTGGAGGTGTACCTGTGGATGTGTTTCAAGGCCTACGTTCAAACTCAGTGCCTCTTTGCTTGACATCATGGGAAGATGAAAAGAAATCAGCCAAGACCTCAGAAAAAAAATGGTAGACCTCCACAAGTCTGGTTCATCCTTGGGAGCAATTTCCAAACGCCTGAAGGTACCACGTTCATCTGTACAAACAATAGTACGCAAGTATAAACACCATGGGACCACGCAGCCGTCATGCCGCTCAGGAAGGAGACCTTGTGAAGATGCTGGAGGAAACAGGTACAAAAGTATCTATATCCACAGTAAAACTAGTCCTATATCGACATAACCTGAAAGGCCGCTCAGCAAAGAAGAAGCCACTGCTCCAAAACCGCCATAAAAAAAAACAGATTACGGTTTGCAACTGCACAATGTCCTCTGGTCTGATGAAACAAAAATAGAACTGTTTGGCCATAATGAAGATCGTTATGTTTGGAGGAAAAAGGGGGGTGGCTTGCAAGCCGAAGAACATCATCCCAACCGTGAAGCACGGGGGTGGCAGCATCATGCTGTAGGGGGTGCTTTGCTGCAGGAGGGAAAGGTGCACTTCACAAAATAGATGGCATCATGAGGAAGGAAAATGATGTGGATATATTGAAGCAACATCTCAAGACATCAGTCAGGAAGTTATAGTTTGGTTGCAAATGGTTCTTCCAAATGGACAATGACCCAAAGCATACTTCCAAAGTTGTGGCAAAATGGCTTAAGGACAACAAAGTCAAGGTATTGGAGTGGCCATCACAAAGCCCTGACCTCAATCCTATAGAAAATGTGTGGGCAGAACTGAAAAAGCGTGTGCGAGCAAGGAGGCCTACAAACCTGACTCAGTTACACCAGCTCTGTCAGGAGGAATGGGCCAAAATTCACCCAACTTATTGTGGGAAGCTTGTGGAAGGCTACCCGAAAAAGTTTGACCCAAGTTATACAATTTAAAGGCATGCTACCAAATACTAATTGAGTGTTGTAAACTTCTGACCCACTGGGAATGTGACGAAAGAAATAAAAGCTGAAATAAATAATTCTCTCTACTATTATTCTGACATTTCACATTCTTCAAATAAAGTGGTGATCCTAATTGACCTAAAACAGGGATTTTTTACTAGGATTAAATGTCAGGAATTGTGAAAAACTGAGTTTAAATGTATTTGGCTAAGGTGTATGGAAACTTCCGACTTCAACTGTAACTCTTGACATTATGCATTTCCCTCACTTGAACCTCTCACCCTCAAAGTGTCTCAAATAGACTTCAGAGTTTAGTTAATGGCATGCTTTTGGAATCCCTCTTTAAAGATGTGAAGAAAAAAAACAAAGTCGAGAGAGAGAGAGAGTTCCTGTATGTTCACATGTTTTTTTCCATGTTCTCTATAGATAAACTAAACTCCGCTTGACTTTTCTCTGGGGAAACTAAAGGTATTTTAATGAAAGGAGGGTTCCACTTCATGACAGTATCTAGGTTTCCATCCAGGTGACAGATTTTCATTCGAAAATTCTAAAATCTGCAAAAAGATAATCTGTAGCCTAATAAAGTGCATGTTTTGCCGATTAGTCATAGTGGGAGGACCACACAACATGTCATTGTGTGACTCCAAGTTTACATAGATATGATGGTTATTATATCAATATTCGTGCATAAACGCGTTTCCACCAACAGTTCTTGCATAATTCATTTTACTGAAACAAAAAGATCCCACCTTGTCTAGCGTATTTTGTTTTGTTGACATTTGGAAAGTTTACCGAAAAATGTTATGTTTCCATCAGGCCTGGAATGCAGTTTATTAGGCTACAGATTACATAAATTATGATGAACTTCACAGGGTGGTGAAAGTGCACAGTGATGAGGTTGATGCTCCCTTCCAATAAATATAGAGGGTTCTTATTCTGGTGACATGAAGATCACATGATGATTGCATATTTGGTTGCTTTTTGACAATTCAAAAATAATCTAGCTCTTTTGTCCATAATAATCTCATGTAGGCTAAACCCGCAATGTATCTGCGAGCTGGTGGCTAAAGCGCACATGCTAATACCGGAGTGGGCACACTGCTATAATGGCACATTTCTTTGTGAGAAAACCATCAGTAGAGTTGAACATGCGATGGAAACCCATTTATTCGGTACATGGGAATTTGTATTTTTATGTGCACTACGTCTTCATGCATAGACTTTCATCTGCAACAAGCCAATTTGATGGAAACAAATCTCTGGCATATTGTTTTTATGCAGATTTTAGAATATTCAGCACGAAAATCTGTCACCAATTGGATGGAAAATTAGCTACAGACACAAAAAGATCCCACCTTGTTTAGCATATTTTGTTTTGTCGACATTTGCAACGTTTACCAAGTTTACCGACACATTTGCTGTTTTCATCAGGCCTGTCATTACATTTTCTATCCAATATGGACTTTACTTTGGTTATAAACCAGGTTTCCATCCAACCTTTCACCAAGTAAAGTACACGGATAGAACATGGTCACGACAGGCCTGATGGAAACAGCAAATGTTTCGGTAAACTTTCCAAATGTTGACAGAACAAAATATTCTAGACAAGGTGGGATCTTTTTGTGTTGGTGTGATGATGCGAACATCCTCATTTGAACATTGCCCCTTATTTAAATTGAATTTGTGAGTGTTTATTTCTATGTATATTGTTTTCCAGGTACCTGCTTAACTTACATTATTCATATCATCGGTAGAGTTGAAAATACAATGAAAAGCCATTTAACTTGTATTTTTCCTTCGATACATGGGAATTTAACCGCAAAAGTTATTTTTATGTGCACTATGTCATCACGCACAGCCTTTTGTCCACAACAAGTCAATTTGATGGAAACATCTCTGGTGGGAAAATGCGTGGGATTTATGCAGATTTTAGAATATTTGCATGAAAATCTGTCACCAATTGGATGGAAACCTAGCTATAGACAAACACTTGGAGCTATAGCTGTGCATGTCAGTTAGCTCAGAACTCAGAAGTGCCAGGTTTCATCTGAAGGAAACTGTCACGAGGTGGAAAAGTGACAGGTTATTTGTAACTGGGATGAGCAGGCATAGTGAAGTAAAGACCAAACAGAAGGACTAGTTCCAGCATTTAATAAACAATAGGGCATAGTTTACAAGTTCACCTTTTCAGCAGTGGCCTTTCTCACTGGGCCAGGAATATTTACAAACCATGCAATTTAAAATGACAAACAATCAAAGTAACAAAAAGGCACAGGAGGTGGTGCAGCCCAGGAGACAGGTCCATCTTGGAAACTCACAATACTCTATTTCCCCCATGCTCCTGGAAACAACCATACCTCTGGACTACATCCCCTCCTGTGGGCAGTTGCACCTCAAACAGAAAGGAACAAGGCTTAAATCAGAGAGGAAGAGGCGAAGCGAGAGGTTTTACTCCGGCCAAAATTTGTCCACGAAAAATAAGCCCACGAAGTGAGGAATTTTTGTATGGAGACCAGTGAGTGTGGAATTTGGTCAACAAAAAATGTCATTGCTAATTTGTTACGTGAGGCTTATTTGATCAAATATACATTTTCTTAATGGTTAGGTTGTTAAGAATGCACTGATATAAGTGGACACACTCTGCATTACGACAATTTATATATCGGACTATATCGGAGTTGTGCCTGTTGTCATAAAGATAGATGGAGGACTCATCATGGCTATAGCCCGTTTTAACATGGACATTGCCATTGAGGGCTTCCACCATTTTAAAAGTAGTCAACTGGGTGGGGAGCCTAAGAGTTGGGAGCAATCAGCCAATAAAGAAGAAGGAAATGTACTACTTTAAAATGGTGCTTCCCATTCTGTCACCGACGCTATAATGACACAGAAACAAAGATGAGTCCTCTATCTATCTCTATGGCCTGTTCACACACGTATCCGCCCTGTCGTTGGCTAGAATGGTCCCACCTAATCTCGCCTCCTTCCGCCTGCCTTCCATCTTTGAGGACATGTATTCCCCATTATATTGACTATCTTGTCAATATAATAGACAATCTTTGCTTAAATACAATTCAGCAAACATACAATTAACCGATGAGATCACTTGGAGAGTTAACGAGTCAATCAATCACACCTGTGACAAGACTCCGGTCTTTTACAGCTCTATCTTATAGCCTGGTCAATGCTAAACCTCAAACAAATGCGCTATGGCCCTTGAACCCTTTGATAGATATTCACTAGATATGAGTCACTAGATGTGGACATCTCACTGTCAATGTCTCTGTGACTGCCATGAACTTTTGCACACATACAGAAATGTCAGTCAAACAAGCAGGCAGGCACGCACGCACCACAGGAGGTTGGTGGCATATAATTGGGGAGAACGGGCTCGTGTTAATGACTGAAGCGGAAGGTGTTTGATGACATTCCATTTGCTCCGTTCCGGACATTTTTATGAGCCGTTCCCCGTTCCCCTTAGCACATTCCATTTGCTCCGTTCCCTGTTTGATTGCAGTCTGAGCAACTGCTCTTGAACTCTGCTGAGTGTGTTTATCACCAACCCTGTTAACCTCCCTCCCTCTCTACTCCCCTATCCTGTTTCCTCATTCCCTTTCCCCGTCTTTCTTTCTCTCTCTCTCTCATTCTACCTCTTCTTCTTTCTCTCTCGCTCTCATTCTCTCCCTAACTCCTTTCCTCTTACTCCCCCTCTCTCTCCCCCTACTTCCCCCCACCACCTACCCTCCTCGCCTACCACACTCTCAGGGATAGGGAAGTTCATTGCCCTTGACTTTGCCCGGCGCGGGGCTCGTGTTATCATGGCGTGCCGGAGCAAGGCTCGCGGTAGCGTCGCCCTGCAGGAGATCCGTAAGCGGAGTGGGAACGCCGATGTGCACCTGCGTCTGGTAGACACCTCGTCCCTGGCGTCGGTGAGGGCGTTCGCAGAGGGCGTCCTGCGAGAGGAGAAGGAGCTCCACATCCTGGTCAACAACGCTGGGGCTTCAGGTGGGCACCAGTCCAGATTCAAAGACCGTTAGCCTGGAAAACACACTTAGGCTGCAATCCACACTGAATATCGTTCACTATTTACTACTGTTTCACTTGAAGCAAAATACAATAGTGAAGGAGCTCTCTCCACATCCTGGTCAACAATGCCAGGGCTTCAGGTGGGCATTGGGTCCAGAGTTAGTTATAGCCTGAAATCCACACTGAATAACACTACATTTTCAATATTGACCTGAAGCAGAACAGTAATGAAAAGGAGCGATATTCACTGTGGATTCCAGGCTAAGATGCAGTCAACCAGGGGTGGATGTCAACAGCCATCACACTAGTGTGACCAACTGGGTTTAAATCCAGGGCGTCTACACACCATAAGACTAAAGCCTGGGCATGAGGAGAGTTAATGCAAGTCTTTAGGTCTTGGGTAAGGTTACCAAAGCACGGTTGTGGTTTGGAGTCAGTACCCAATAACAATGTCCATGAGAGGAACAACCTTGCTTGATTGATAATAACAATGGTAACATGCCATTCCACCGAATTACAATTTTGCTCACAAATTCCCATTCATTATCTATCACTGTTGGGAATGTTTGTCCTTGACACTGTGTCTGTTTGCGACATGCACATCCTTTTATGCCCAAAGTAAAATGCCTTCGCAGCTTTTCTTATCACATATTTTGGTAATGTTTTCTGTATTTTGATAAAAAAATATTTACTTTTTCACTTGAGTCTGTGTGTGAATGCTTGAGTGCGTGTGTGTTTCTATGTATGTATGAGTGTTCATTGGTTTGGTTATATTATGTCTGGACACAGGCTTGCCTAGAGATATCACCTCAGATGGGCTAGAGGTGTCCTTTGCTACCAACCATGTGGGTCCTTTCCTCCTCACCAACCTGCTTCTGGGTAAGACACCACATATTCCACTGATACCTCACCCTGCCATAAAGCTAGAGCTCTGTGAACAACTACTGCAGCGTTACACGGGCCACGGCTATAGGCTTATATGCAAAATATGTTCCTATAAAAGGGTTCTTCGACTGTCCCCATAGGAGAACCCTTTTTGGTTCCAGGTAGAACCCTTTTTGCTTTCAGGTAGAACCATTTTGGGTTCCATGTACAGTGCCGGGAAAAAGTATTTGCCCACTTTCTGATTTTCTCTCTTTTTTAATATTTTTGATGCTGAATGTAATCAGATCTTCTACCAAAACCTGACTGAACAAGTAACACAACAATTACATACTTATTTAATTTATTTCATAAACAAAGTTATGCCACACCCAATGCCACTGTGTGAAAAAGCAATAGCCCCCTTACACTCAATAACTGGTTCTCAACTTTAGCTGCAATGACTCCAACCAAACGCTTCCTGTAGTTGTTGATCAGTCTCTCACATCGCTGTGGAGGAATTTTGGCCCAATCTTCCATGCAGAACTGGTTTAATTCAGCGACATTTGTGGGTTTTCAAGCATGAACTGCTCGATTCAAGTCCTGCCACAACATCTCAATTGGGAGTAGGTCTGGACTTTGACTAGGCCATTCCAAAACTTCAAATGTGTTGCTTTTTAGCTATTTTCATGTAGACTTGATTGTGTGTTCTGGATCATTGTCTTGCTGCGTGACCCAGCTGCGCTTTAGCTTCAGCTCACAGACGGATGGTCTGACATTCTCCTGTAGAATTCTCTGATACAGAGCAGAATTCATGTTTTCTTCTATTAAGGCAAGTCATCGAGGTCCTCAGGCAGCAAAGCATCCCCAAACCATCACACTACCACCACCATGCTTGACCGTTGGAAGAATGTTCTATGGACAGATGAGTCAAAAGTATAACTTTTTGAACGACATGGGTCCCATTATGCCTGATGAAAACCAAACACTGCATTCCACAGTAAGAACCTCATACGAAGAGTCTTGATGATCATCCAGGTGCTTTTTGGCAAACTTGAGTCAACTTTTTGGACAAAATGGGTTTTGTCACACAACACAATGCCACAGATGTCTCAATTTTGAGGGAGCGTGCAATTGGCATGCTGACTGCAGGAATGTCCACCAGAGCTGTTGCCAGAGAATTGAATGTTCATTTCTGTACCATAAGCCGCTTCCAACGTCATTTTAGAGAATTTGGCAGTACGTCCCACTGGCCTCACAACCGCAGACCACTTGTAACCACGCCAGCCCAGGACCTCTACACCAGGCTTCTTCACCTAAGGGATCATCTGAGACGAGCCACCCGGACAGCTGATGAAACTGAGGAGTGTTTTTGTCTGTAATAAAACCCTTTTGTGGGGGAAAAACTCATTTTGGTTGGCTGGGCCTGGCTCCCCAGTGTGTGGGCCTCTGCCCAGTCATTTGAAATCCATAGATTAGGGCCTAATGAATTTACTTCAATTAACTGATTTCCTTATATGAACTGTAACTCAGTAACATTTTTGAAAATGTTGCGTTTATATTTTTGTTCAGTGGAACGAAGCATGAATTATGCTCTGTATCAGAGAATTCTATAGGAGAATGTCAGGCTATCTGCCTGTGAGCTGAAGCTGAAGCTCAGCTGGGTCATGCAGCAAGACAATGATCCAAAACACAATCAAGTCTACATGAAAATGGTTAAAAAGCAACAAATGTGAAGTTTTGAAAACCCACAAATGTCATTGAGTTAAAACAGTTTTGCATGCAAGAGTGGGCCAAAATTCCTCCACAGCGATGTGACAGACTGATCAACAACTACAGGAATCATTTAGTTGGAGTCATTGCAGCTAAAGGTGGCACAACTACCGTATTTTCCGCACTATAAGGCGCACCGGAGTATAAGCCGCAGCAGCTAAATTGAATGATATTGAATGATGTGTACATATATAAGCCGCACTGGACTATAAACTGCAGGTGTTTTAATGTTTAATTACCATATGTATGGGTTCGTGCACAGAGGGGATTGTCGGGAAAGAGACAAACTGTCTCGCTCTCGTAATGTCTGTCTGTCTTGCTCTCGTTCTGTCTCTCGTTCTGTCTCTCGTACCACTCTCGGTTCCACTTTTACTTTTGCGCGCTACCTGTCTCACTCTTTTCCGGCCTCCAGCTTTTCCTGCTGGAGCCCGCCGCTTAAAGGTGGGGGGCGCGGACCGGTCATAGAGCCCATAGAGTTAAAGTTGGTGGACTGTAACCTGTAAAATCCATAGATTTAGGAGGTCTTCTAATGGCCGTTAGCTGTAAAAATCCATAGATTAGCCGCACCGTTATATAAGCCGCAGGGTCGAAAAATGGGAAAAAAGGCGCGGCTTATAGTCCAAAAATTACGGTAGTTATTGAGTGTAAAGGGCCAATTACTTTTTCACACACTGGAATTGGGTGTTGCATAACTTTGTTAATTCAATAAATAAAATAAGTATACTTTTTTTTGTTATTTGTAAACTCAGGTTCCCTGGATCTAATATTAGGTTTTGGTTGAAGATCTGATAATTATTCAGTATCAAAAATATGCAAAAATAGAGAAAATCAGAAAGGGGGCAAATACTTTTTCATGGTACTGTAGAACCCTCTGTGGAAAGGGTTCTTGATGGAACCCAAAAGGGTTATTCAAAGGGTTCTCCTATGGGAACAGCCAAATAACCATCTTAGGTTCTACAGTAGATGGCACCTTTTTTCTAATAGTTTATTCTAGTGCTGTATTTTGTGAGTGTTATGCATTTTGTTACTTTCCCTGTTTTACATCTACTCAACCTTACAATAATTTACTGTATGTAACATTGTCCCAGTTATCGCACGTTACATTCCACACCTTACATTGTTACTGTATTCACTTCCCTTCCCACCACTCTTCTCTCGCCTCTACTCCTTCCCTCCCCTATCTCCTCCCTCCATCCCCCATTCCCTTTCTCCCTCCTTTTCCTCTCCTTTTCCTCCCCCTCTCCCCTCCGTCCAGACCTGTTGAAGCAATCAGCACCGGCACGCATCGTCAACGTGTCATCTGTGAACCATTGGAGGGGCAAGGTCGACTTCTCGCACTTCAAGGGCAAGAACCTGGGCTACACTATGGACAGTGTGTACAACCACACCAAGCTGCACAACGTCATCTGCACTAACGAGCTGGCGCGAAGGCTACAAGGAACAGGTGGGTATGAAGGCCTGGGCCAGTATTAATTAAGCATCTTAGAGTAGGAGTGTTGATCTAGGCATCTGGTTTGGCTATTCGATTATCAAATTCTTGTTTAGAGCACATAGTAGCCATACCCTATTTTACTGTTGCTAAAACAACTGTATTAGTGGATGTGTAACATTTTACAATGAGCATAATTTCTGAGTGGTCTTGTAAGGGAAGGGGGTGATGTCATGAAAAGTTAGGCGCCAAACATCTGTGGAGCTGGAGATTGAGTTTCCCCATGTGTGTCAGACTTTCCATGAAATCAGATTAATGGTAAAGGAGGGACATGGATTTCTGGGTTTTTGTGTGGTTTATAATCTCTTCTGTGTGCGGGTGCGCGTGCATGCGCGCGTGTGTGTGTCTCACAGGGGTGACAGCTAACTCCCTCCACCCCGGGTTGGTGATGACAGAAGTGATGAGACACTATAACTTCATGGTTCGGTTCCTCTTCAACATTATCGGAATCTTCTTCTTCAAGGTGAACATTTTTTATAAAACACCCTGGTGAAAATCATTCATACAGTACATTGTTTAACACTTTATTTTACCATCCTGTTTCAGCTGGTATTAAGTAAGAAACCATTTCTGGTACTTATATGTTACGTAATAATTATCATTTTATACAGTAGTTTCCAAATAAATAACAAGTAAATAGTGGACTGTAAAATAAAGTGTAATCAATATTTTCAGTTTGTCTGAAATGAAAGAGCGAAAGGGATTCATTCAAAGGTGCATTTCAGTGGTGCACACTGCACTAATGACAACACATTTTAAAGGCAATCTCCCTGCTTTTTGTGGATATCGCATTCAAGTGCAATGTGCTTGTTGACATTGCTCCTTTGACTGAATTCTGGCAAAAGTGTGTTTCTGAGAAGGTCTGTAGTTGGGAAGAAAATGTGTGAGACATAAAGATTTGTTATTGTTATGGTCCTGGTTGTTACATTTATGGGAACAGGATGTGTTAGGTCTCACTTAATTCACAACAAAACTAAAGAGACTTACTGCACCAGACAACCGACAGTGCGTGTTTTAAAGGTCATTTACACCTGAGCCAATATTCACAGGGTTTACCATGAATGCGAATGGCAGAGAAATTGGTTGACCTTTTCACCTGTATAGTGCGCTGCTCGATAACGCACCTAGTTTTTCTTATTTTTGAAGAATGACTAAATAGTAGAACTTTAAAACGTAATGCAGGACCAGCGAAGGACACCACAACATAAGACCACATTAAACAGAGGCCAGACCCCATTTAAATGGGCAAGAGTCTTTAGCCCAGGCTTAAAGGCAGTGATGGTCTGGGCCATGCAGAGATGGAGTGAAAGCTTGTTTCACAGCTAGGGGCCGAAGGGGTGTAGACTGTATGGTCACCCATCGTTTTGAGGCAGGTCTTTGGGACAGAGGAGTCTTTGATCATTTGTCATGATCCTAAAGATGATGGTTTTCTTAGGTGGGGACCAGACCTGGGATAACTATAGTTTTAATTATGCTTTGTGGAAAGTTTTTTTTTAATTGAGGGGAACAAATGGTTACTTTGGAGGTGACTACAACTATATGAATACAGATTTTTGCCTTTTAGGCGTACATTATGGGAATGATAATCTCAATGATAATCTCATACTCGGCAAAAGCTAAATCTGATTTAGTGATTAATTTTCTTCAATTTTAATTTCTACCTTAGAAAAAGACCATTAAAATGTTTACACGGTAAAGAAGAAAATACAATTTCTGAATTTAAGCAGGAATACAATCTTTTACGTTTGAAGAGAGCCAACAATTACAGGTCAAACTCCAATAAAGCATATTACTTAATGACAAATAAACCTGGTAAATATCTCGCAGCTCTCACAAAAGGAACACATGCTAAACCAGTTATAATTTAAAAAGAAATAACAACGTGATTAATGACAATTTTAAAAGCTTCTATGAAAATGTATATAAATCAGAATTAAACAACAGTTGGACGGATCCTATAGCCTTCTTAGACTCAACAACCATGAAGCAATTATTAGAAAACAGAAATCGCCCAAAAATAAATATTACATACTGTTAAAACATTTACCCAGAGAAAAGCACCAGGAATGGATTGCTTGCCCATAGAATTATATTCAACATTTTGGGACAAAGTAGTGCCCATTTTTACACAAATAACACGCGTCACTCAATTCAGTACTTCCTAGTTCTATGTCTCAAACAGTTATTTCAGTTATATTAAAATCAGGAAAATCTGGAGAGTCCCCTACTGATTATAGACACAAGTTTAATAAACTGTGACAATAAAATAATAACAAAGCTTATAAGCAATAGTCTTACCAGACTTGAAATATCAATCAAAGAGGGTTTATTAAAAATAAACACTTACAAACAAATACAAGAACATTTTTCAGTTTAATACAATACGCAAAAAAAATATTAATAGATTGATCAATAATGGCTGTTGATGCCGAAAATACTTTAGACCATCTTGAATGGCCTTTTTTATTTAAATCTTTGGAAGCTTTCAACTTTCCATCTGAAATAATACAAATAATATATAAATGTCCTAAAGCAAAAATATGCACAAATAATACATTATCTGATGATAAAGCTAAGAACATTAACAACTTCATAGTTAAGAACACTATAACAATATGGAAGAAAATGTAACGTATTCTACAAGAACCAATATCACTCCCTAAAAACACAACCCTATGGAACAATCCTTGGATAGCTTTTCAGAATTCACCGATAAATTGGTCTACATGGAAAACTAACAGCATAGTTAGTAGCAACGGTTAATGACTTGGTAACAGGAAGTAAATGTATTTCCATGATAGATCTGTCCAAAATTGCTTTTTAATTCTATGTCAATATTTAAATACATGCAACTCAAGTTACATATCACGAAATTCCGATTTGAAATCTTTTCGACATCAGAGCAACCTTGAGGGAATCTTATCAAATCAACTTTTATTGGTCACATACACATGTTTAGCAGATGTTATTGCGGGTGTAGCGAAATGCTTGTGTTTCTAGCTCCAACAGTGCAGTAATATCTAACAATTCACAACAATACACATAATACACACAATCTAAAAGTAAAATAATGTAATTAAGAAATATAAATATTAGGATGAGCAAACTCGGAGTGGCATAGACGAAAATACAGTAGAATAGAATACAGTATATACACTACCGTTCAAATGTTTGGGGTCACTTGTTTTGTCCTTGTTTTCCATGAAAACATACATGAAATGAGTTTGAATAGGAAATATAGCAAAATTAATAGGAAATGTAGTCATTGACAAGGTTAGAAATAATGATTTTTAATTGAAATAATAATTGTGTCCTTCAAACTTTGCTTTCGTCAAAGAATCCTCCATTTGCAGCAATTACAGCCTTGCAGATCTTTGGTATTCTAGTTGTCAATTTGTTGAGGTAATCTGAAGAGATTTCACCCCATGCTTCCTGAAGCACCTCCCACAAGTTGGATTGGCTTGATGGGCACTTCTTACGTACCATACGGTCAAGCTGTTCCCACAACAGCTCAATAGGGTTGAGATCCGGTGACTGTGCTGGCCACTCCATTATAGACAGAATACCAGCTGACTGCTTCTTCCCTAAATATTTTTTGCATTGTTTGGAGCTGTGCTTTGGGTCATTGTCCTGTTGTAGGAGGAAATTGGCTCCAATTAAGCGCCGTCCACAGGGTATGGCATGGCGTTGCAAAATGGAGTGATAGCCTTCCTTCTTCAAGATCCCTTTTAACCTGTAAAAATCTCCCACTTTACCACCACCAAAGCACCCCTAGTATGCACGCATGACTGTAAGTCGTTTTGGATAAAAGCGTCTGCTAAATGGCATATTATTATTATTATTATTATTATTAGACCATCACATTGCCTCCACCATGCTTGACAGATGGCATCAAGCACTCCTCCATCATCTTTTCATTTGGTCTGCGTCTCACAAATGCTCTTCTTTGTGATCCAAACACCTCAAACTTCGATTTGTCTGTCCATAACACCTTTTTACAATCTTCCTCTGTCCAGTGTCTGTGTTCTTTTGCCCATCTTAATCTTTTCTTTTTATTGGCCAGTCTGAGATATGGCTTTTTCTTTGCAACTCTGCCTAGAAGGTCAGCATCCCGGAGTCGCCTCTTCACTGTTGACATTGAGACTGGTGTTTTGCGGGTACTATTTAATGAAGCTGCCAGTTGAGGACCTGTGAGGCATCTGTTTCTCAAACTAGACACTAATGTATTTGTCCTCTTGCTCAGTTGTGCACCGGGGCCTCCCACTCCTCTTTCTATTCTGGTTAGAGCCAGTTTGCGCTGTTCTGTGAAGGGAGTAGTACACAGCGTTGTACGAGATCTTCAGTTTTTTGGCAATTTCTCGCATGGAATAGCCTTCATTTCTCAGAACAAGAATAGACTGACGAGTTTCAGAAGAAAGTTATTTGTTTCTGGCCATTTTGAGCCTGTAATCGAACCCACAATTGCTGATGCTCCAGATACTCAACTAGTCTCAAGAAGGCCAGTTTTATTGCTTCTTTAATCAGCACAACAGTTTTCAGCTGTGCTAACATAATTGCAAAAGGGTTTTCTAATCAATTAGCCTTTTTTAAATGATAAACTTGGATTAGCAAACACAACGTGCCATTGGAACACAGGACTGATGGTTGCTGATAATGGGCCTCTGTACGCCTATGTAATTCCATTAAAAATCAGCAGTTTCCAGCTACAATAGCCATTTACAACATTAACAATGTCTACACTGTATTTCTGATCAATTTGATGTTATTTTAATGGACAAAAAAAATGCTTTTCTTTCGAAAACAAGGACATTTCTAAGTGACCCCAAACTTTTGAACGTTAGTGTACATATGAGATGAGTAAAGCAAAAGTGACTAGTGTTCCATTATTAAAGTGGCCAGTGATTTCAAGTCTATGTATGTAGGGCAGCAGCCTCTAAGTTGCAGGGTTATGTAACCGGTTGGAAGCTCCAAGTGATGGCTATTTAACAGTCTGATGGCCTTGACATAGAAGCTGCTTTTCAGTCTCTCAGTCCCAGCTTTGATACACCTGTACTGACCTCGCCTTCTGGATGATAGCGGGGTGAACAGGCAGTGGCTCGGGTGGTTGTTGTCCTTTATGATTTGTTTTACCTTCCTGTGACATCGGGTGCTGTAGGTGTCCTGGAGGACAGGTAGTTTGCCCCCGGTGATGCGTTGGGCAGACCGCACCTCCCTCTGGAGAGCCCTGCGGTTGCGGGCGGAGCAGTTGCCGTACCAGGCGGTGATACAGCCCGACAGGATGCTCTCAATTGTGCATCTATAAAGGTTTGTGAGGGTTTTAGGTGCCAAGCCAAATTTCTTCAGCCTCCTGTGGTTGAAGAGGTGCTGTTGCGCCTTCTTCACCACACTGTACGCTGAGGAACTTGAAGCTTTCCACCTTCTCCACTGCGGTCCCGTCGATATGGATAGGGGTGTGCCCCCTCTGCTGTTTCCTGAAGTCCACGATCAGCTCTTTTGTTTTATTGACGTTGAATGAGAGAATTTTCCTGGCACCACACTCCCAGGGCCCTCACCTTCTCCCTGTAGGCTATCTCATCATTGTTGGTAATCAGGCCTACTACTGTTGTGTCGTCTGCAAACTTGATGATTAAGTTGGAGGCGTGCGTGGCCATGCAGTCATGGATGAACAGGGAGTACAGGAGGGGAATGAGCACGCACCCTTGTGGGGCCCCTGTGATGAGGATCAGCAAAGTGGACGTGTTGTTTCCTACCTTCACCACCTGGGGGCGGCCCGTCAGGAAGTCCAGGATCCAGTTGCACAGGGTGGGGTTCAGAATCAGGGCCCAGAGCTTAATGATGAGCTTGGAGGGTACTATGGTGTTGAATGCTGAGCTATAGTCAATGAAGTCGGAAGTTTACATACACCTTAGCCAAATACATTTAAACTCAGTTTTTCAAAATTCCTGACATTTAATCCTAGTAAAAATTCCCTGTCTTAGGTCAGTTAGGATCACCACTTTATTTTAAGAATGTGAAATGTCAGAATAATAGTAGAGAGAATGATTTATTTCAGCTTTTATTTCTTTCATCACATTCCCAGTGGGTCAGAAGTTTACATACACTCAATTAGTTTTTGGTAGCATTGCCTTTAAATTGTTTAACTTGGGTCAAATGTTTCGGGTAGCCTTCCACAACCTTCCCACAATACGTTGGGTGAATTTTGGCCCATTCCTTCTGACAGAGCTGGTGTAACTGAGTCAGGTTTGTAGGCCTCCTTGCTCGCACACGCTTTTTCAGTTCTGCCCACAAATGTTCTATAGGATTGAGGTCAGGGCTTTGTGATTACCACTCCAATACCTTGACTTTGTTGTCCTTAAGCCATTTTTGCCACAACTTTTGAAGTATGCTTGGGGTCATTGTCCATTTGGAAGATCCATTTGCGACCAAGCTTTAACTTCCTGACTGATGTCTTGAGATGTTGCTTCAATATATACACATAATTTTCCTTCCTCATGATGCCATCTATTTTGTGAAGTGCACCAGTCCCTCCTGCAGCAAAGCACCCCCACAGCATGATGCTGCCACCCCCGTGCATCACGGTTGCGATGGTGTTCTTCGGCTTGCAAGCAACCCCCTTTTTCCTCCAAACATAACGATGGTCATTATGGCCAAACAGTTCTATTTTTGTTTCATCAGACCAGAGGACATTTCTCCAAAAAGTATGATCTTTGTCCCCATGTGCAGTTGCAAACCGTAGTCTGGCTTTTTTATGGCGGTTTTGGAGCAGTGGCTTCTTCCTTGCTGAGCGGCCTTTCAGGTTATGTCGATATAGGACTAGTTTTACTGTGGATATAGATACTTTTGTACCTGTTTCCTCCAGCATCTTCACAAGGTCCTTTGCTGTTGTTCTGGGATTGATTTGCACTTTTCACACCAAAGTACGTTCATCTCTAGGAGACAGAACGCGTCTGCTTCCTGAGCGGTATGACGGCTGCGTGGTCCCATGGTGTTTATACTTGCGTACTATTGTTTGTACAGATGAACGTAGTACCTTCAGGCGTTTGGAAATTGTTCCCAAGGATGAACCAGACTTGTGGAGGTCTACAATTTTTTTTATATCAAGCAAAGAGGCACTGAGTTTGAAGGTAGGCCTTGAAATACATCCACAGGTACACCTCCAATTGACTCAAATGATGTAAATTAGCCTATCAGAAGCTTCTAAAGCCATGACATCATTTTCTGGAATTTTCCAAGCTGTTTAAAGGCACAGTCAACTTAGTGTATGTAAACTTCTGACCCACTGGAATTGTGATACAGTGAATTATAAGTGAAATAATCTGTCTGTAAACAATTGTTGGAAAGATTACTTGTGTCATGCACAAAGTAGATGTCCTAACCGACTTGCCAAAACTATAGTTTGTTAAAAAGAAATTTGTGGAGTGGTTGAAAAACAAGTTTTAATGACTCCAACCTAAGTGTATGTAAACTTCCGACTTCAACTGTAGGTATTCCTTTTGTCCAGATGGGAAAGGGCAGTGTGCAGTGCCATGGTGATTGCATCGTCTGTGGATCTATTGGGGTAGAAAGCAAATTGAAGTGGGTCTAGGGTGTCAGGTAAGGTAGAGGTGATATGATCCTTAACTAGCCTCTCAAAGCACTTAATGATGACAGAAGTGACTGCTACGGGGCGATAGTCATTTAGTTCAGTTACCTTTGCTTTCTTGGGTACAGGAACGATGGTGGACATCTTGAAGCGATTGAAAATGTCCATAAACACTCCAGCCAGCTGGTCTGCCCATGCTCTGAGGACGCGGCTAGGAATGCAGTCTGGGCCGGCAGCCTTGTGAGGGTTAACACGCTTAAATGTCTTACTCACGTCGGCCACGGAGAACGAGAGCCCACAGTCCTTGGTAGCGGGCTGCGTCGGTGGCACTGTGTTATCCTCAAAGCGGGCGAATAAGGTGTTTAGCTTGTCTGGGAGCAAGACATCGTTGTCCGCGACGTGGCTGGTTTTCCCTTTGTAATCTGTGATTGTCTGTAGACCCTGCCACATATGTCTCGTGTCTGTGCCGTTGAATTGCGACTCCACTTTGTCTCTATGCTGAAGTTTTGCCTGTTTGATTGCCTTACGGAGGGAATAACTACACTGTTTGTATTTGGCCATATTCCCAGTCACCTTGCCATGGTTAAATGCGGTGGTTCGCGCTTTCAGTTTTGCGCAAATGCTGCCATCTATCCACGGTTTCTGGTTTGGGTAGGTTTTAATAGTCACAGTGGGTACAACATCTCCTATACACTTCCTGATGAACTCAGTCACCGTATTAGTGTATTCATCAATGTTATTCTCAGAGGCTACCCGGAACATATCCCAGTCCACGTGATCAAAACAATCTTGAAGCATGGATTCCGATTTGTCAGACCAGCGTTGAATAGTCCTTAGCACGGCTACTTCCTGTTTAAATTTCTACCTTTAGAAAGGGAGGAGCAAAATGGAGTCGTTATTAGATTTGCCGAAGGGAGGGCGGAGGAGGGCCTTGTAGGCATTTCGAAAGCTGAGTAGCAGTGGTCTAATGTTTTCTCAGAGCGAGTGCTACAGTCAATATGTTGGTAGAACTTCGGTAGCGTTTTCCTCAAATTTGCTTTGTTAAAATAAATGCGGCCTCAGGATATGTGGTTTCCAGTTTGCCTAAAGTGTAGTTATTTGAGGGCCATCGTGGTATCGGCTTGGGGGGGGAATATACACTGCTGTGACTATAACTGAAGATAATTCTCTTGGGAGGTAATACGGTCAGGTGAACAAAAGGACTTGAGTTTCTGTGTGTTATCACAATCACACCATGAGTAGTTAATCATGAAACACACCCCCCCGCCTTTCTTCTTCCCGGAGAGTTCTTTATTCCTGTCTGCGCAATGTACTGAGAACCCAGCTGGCTGTATGGACGAAGACAGTATATCCCGAGAGAGCCATGTTTCCGTGAAACAGAGTATGTTACAATCCCTGATGTCTCTCTGGAAGGAGGTTCTCGCCCTGAGCTCGTCTACTTTATTATCCAGAGACTGAACATTAGCGAGTAATATACTCGGAAGTAGTGGATGGTGTGCGCGCCTCCTGAGTCGGACTAGAAGTCCACTCCGAGTCAGAAAAGGATGTTCATATGATAGGTAAGATATACAAAACCTTGCAGAGACTATATCCACTGACAATCTCTTATAATATAAACTATTGGAACCAAGACTTAAAAATAACTGATGTTGGCACAAGATGGAGGTAATGTTGGAGCATAAATAACGAAATTACAGTTAACGAAAATGTACGCTTAATCCAGTATAAACTAATGTATAAAATGTATTATACAAGAGACAAAATAAACAAATTCTACAGCACAACAGCAGAGTCGTGTCTTAAGTGTAAAACTAACAATGACTCAACAATCCATACTTTCTGGGAATGGCAGAAGTCCAAAAGTTATGGGTGGAGCTAGAAAGTTGGCTGTCAGAAGTATTACAATGTAAACTTACTTTTAATCCGTCTGTCTGCATATTTCAAGACATGGAATATGGGGTATAGTGAGATACCCAATGGGCTGAAAGATTCTCTTCTCATCACTCATCTAGAAAAAAATTATACTTAAAACATGGAAATCAATCCCCCATCATTAACGCAATGGGAAAATCAAATTATTTATTATTGAAATAGAATGGGCGACCGAGGAAAAACTAATTGGTACAATTTAAGGCTAAGTGGCAAACAACAATGCAGACACTAGGGATGGGGGTGTGAGCATGCGGATCTGGGCAGATGAAATGTAGTCGATGTTTGTTTGTGTCTGTAAGTTGATGTTTGTATGTTTGTATCTGGTGTGAATAAAACATTTTTTAATGATAAAATAATACATACAAATAGTATTTGTTTTTCTGAGACCTGTATTTGAATATCAAAGAAAATAGTTGCCTTTTAGTTGAAACTCTATATAAGCTATGTTCCACTACAATACAGTGGGGAAAAAAGTATTTAGTCAGCCACCAATTGTGCAAGTTCTCCCACTTAAAAAGATGAGAGAGGCTTGTAATTTTCATCATAGGTACACGTCAACTATGACAGACACATTGAGGAAAAAAAATCCTGAAAATCACATTGTAGGATTTTTAATGAATTTATTTGCAAATTATGGTGGAAAATAAGTATTTGGTCACCTACAAACAAGCAATATTTCTGGCTCTCACAGACCTGTAACTTCTTCTTTAAGAGGCTCCTCTGTCCTCCACTCGTTACCTGTATTAATGGCACCTGTTTGAACTTATCAGTATAAAAGTCCACAACCTCAAACAGTCACACTCCAAACTCCACTATGGCCAAGACCAAAGAGCTGTCAAAGGACACCAGAAACAAAGTTGTAGACCTGCACCAGGCTGGGAAGACTGAATCTGCAATAGGTAAGCAGCTTGGTTTGAAGAAATCAACTGTGGGAGCAATTATTAGGAAATGGAAGACATACAAGACCACTAATAATCTCCCTCGATCTGGGGCTCCATGCAAGATCTCACCCTGTGGGGTCAAAATGATCACAAGAACGGTGAGCAAAAATCCCAGAACCACACGGGGGGACCTAGTGAATGACCTGCAGAGAGCTGGGACCAAAGTAACAAAGCCTACCATCAGTAACACACTACGCCGCCAGGGACTCAAATCCTGCAGTGCCAGACGTGTCCCCCTGCTTAAGCCAGTACATGTCCAGGCCCGTCTGAAGTTTGCTAGAGTGCATTTGGATGATCCAGAAGAGGATTGGGAGAATGTCATATGGTCAGATGAAACCAAAATAGAACTTTTTGGTAAAAACTCAACTCGTCGTGTTTGGAGGACAAAGAATGCTGAGTTGCATCCAAAGAACACCATACCTACTGTGAAGCATGGGGGTGGAAACACACCGTTTTTCTGCAAAGGGACCAGGACGACTGATCCGTGTAAAGGAAAGAATGAATGGGGCCATGTATCGTGAGATTTTGAGTGAAAACCTCCTTCCATCAGCAAGGGCATTGAAGATGAAACGTGGCTGGGTCTTTCAGCATGACAATGATCCCAAACACACCGCCCGGGCAACGAAGGAGGGGCTTCGTAAAAAGCATTTCAAGGTCCTGGAGTGGCCTAGCCAGTCTCCAGATCTCAACCCCATAGAACATCTTTGGAGGGAGTTGAAAGTCTGTGTTGCCCAGCGACAGCCCCAAAACAACACTGCTCTAGAGGAGATCTGCATGGAGGAATCGGCCAAAATACCAGCAACAGTGTGTGAAAACCTTGTGAAGACTTACAGAAAACGTTTGACCTGTGTCATTGCCAACAAAGGGTATATAACAAAGTATTGAGAAACTTTTGTTATTGACCAAATACTTATTTTCCACCATAATTTGCAAATAAATTCATTAAAAATCCTACAATGTGATTTTCTGGATTTCTTTTTCTCATTTTGTCTGTCATAGTTGAAGTGTACCTATGATGAAAATTACAGGCCTCTCTCATCTTTTTAAGTGGGAGAACATGCACAATTGGTGGCTGACTAAATACTTTTTTCCCCCACTGTACCTTGAGTATTTGAAAAGTTAGTATTTTCAAATAAACTACAAAATACAACTATTTCTGCCCTGGTCTGGTGGGGACCCAACACAACAGAGGCACACCACAGAATGAGTTAACAAACAAATCCACTCAATAGAACAACTGTAAACGCTACCACATGTTGGGAATGAAAGCAGCATTTATTTCGGTCTTTGGGCTGACGTGAACCGTGACAGTGGAATTTGGACTGTTTTGGCTGTGTGTGTGTGTGCTGTCCCACCTCGTAAGAACTGGGAGTTAATCCAGAAATAACTTTTTGGGCTCTATTCCATCTGTATTGCTGAATCATTACAGATTGCGCAATGGAAATGTGAATGTAATTTCCGATTGAGCAGACATATGGAGCGTTTACCTTGAATGCAGTCTATGCTAACACGGGAACATTGAAATTTAAAGGCAATCAAGTTGTAATGGTAAACTTCAGCGACACAAATTTAATAGAGACCCTTAAATCTAAAGACAGAATAAACCAGTATGAAAAGGGGTCAAGTGGAGTAGAGTGTCTGAAAAATTACATTTCTAGCAGTTTCACAACTATATTTCACAGACTTCCCAGAATCAACAAGGGAAATCTGTCAATTCTATGTTACTTTGTCAAAGTTGCAAATTAAGGAAGACTCCCTTTCCTGGCATGTGACTAACATTTTTTCACAGAAACAAAGCACTGAGCTATTGACTGGCAGTTGATGTGCTTACTAGCAGTGGCTGTCTCTTTTTATGCAGAGGTGGTTAGTGTGTGTGTGCGTGTCTTCTTAGGCTGAGATTCAATCTGATCACCGCTTGATCCGTGTTAAAGCGCTTGACATTTAAAGGTACTTTCCGATTGAGCCGGTATATGCAGCAATTACTGTGAACGCAGTCTCCGTGAACGCGGGAACATTGCCTTTAAAATGTGCATAACTGTCAGTGCGATTGGATTGAATCCCGGCCCTACTGTATACCCAGCCTCACCCTCTCCCATCTCTGTCCACACAGTCTTCTGAGGAAGGGGCAGTGAGTACCATCTACTGTGCGGTTGCCACGGAGACGGAGGGAATAACAGGGAAGTACTTTGACAGCGACTGTTCCCTGGTTCTTCCTGCCCCCCTGGCCCGAGATCCCGCCCTCGCAGTAAAGGACTTTGAGTTCTGCGAGAGATTGACATCCAAGCTCTGAGAGAGCGAGAGTTTATCTTGAAGTGTTTTATTCAATAGCAGACAAGTAAAATAATGTAAGCTTTTGTAATCTGTGAACTCATGAAGGATGCATATCATATGTTCTATTAATAACATTGTTTATTTGTTTATTTGTGTGTGTTGAGTGTTGTAGTAGAGTCACCTAACGCCTCAGACACACCAATAATGGTTGCCGGCCGAGAGTACTTATCTCGCGAAAATGTTGGCAGTCAGACGTCCACCAGCAGGTGGTCCCTAAAACACAGCGTGTGGAACCAACGGCAGATCAACATTTGGTGCGATGTGTGTGGTCCTTAAGATTTGAGTCGACCTAAAGCCTCCATGCAGGAATACAAATCCTCGTCCCAAAAATCTGAAGTCAAGAAGACATATAAAGTGATGCTTTAAGCTGTAGGTCATGTGATCCATTTCAGCTTACTGTATTTTCCTTCACTGTGAGTAGGGACCTGTGTTTTTGTTAATCATGTCACATGACCTGGAATTTTTTACTTTTATTTTAAGCCTTTTCCAGAAATGAAAAGTAGACCAAAAATGAAAGCAATTGTCTGAGGGTTTTCAAATCAAATCAAATCAATTGTTATTTGCCACATGCGCCGAATACAACAGGTGTAGACATTACAGTGAAATGCTTACTTACAAGCCCTTAACCAACAATGCAATTTGTAACGTATTTTTAAGTTAAAAAATAAAAGCAAACAACTAAAGAGCAGCAGTAAAATAAAATAACAGTAGGGAGGCTATATACAGGGGGGGTACCGGTGCAGAGTCAATGTGCGGGGGCACCGGCTAGTCGAGGTAATTGAGGTAATATATACATGTGGGTAGAGTTAAAGTGACTATGCATAAATAATAGACAGTAGCAGCAGCGTAAAAGAGGGGGGTGGGGGTGGGGGTGGGGGGGCAATGCAAATAGTCCGGGTAGCAATGATTAACTGTTCAGGAGTCTTATGGCTTGGGGGTAGAAGCTGTTGAGAAGCCTCTTGGACCTAGACTTGGCGCTCCGGTACTGCTTGCCGTGCAGTAGCAGAGAGAACAGTCTATGACTAGGGTGGCTGGAGTCTTTGACAATTCTGAGGGCCTTCCTCTGACACCGCCTGGTATAGAGGTCCTGGATGGCAGGAAGCTTGGCCCCAGTGATGTACTGGGCCGTACGCACTACCCTCTGTAGTGCCTTGCGGTCGGAGGCCGAGCAGTTGCCATACCAGGCGGTGATGCAACCAGTCAGGATGCTCTCGATGGTGCAGCTGTATCATTTTTTGAGGATCTGAGGACCCATGCCAAATCTTTTCAGTCTCCTGAGGGGGAATAAGCTTTGCCGTGCCCTCTTCACAACTGTCTTGGTGTGTTTGGACCATGATAGTTTGTTGGTGATGTGGACACCAAGGAACTTGAAGCTCTCAACCTGTTCCACTACAGCCCCGTCGATGAGAATGGGGGCGTGCTCAGTCCTTTTTTTTTTTCCTGTAGTCCACAATCATCTCCTTTGTCTTGATCACGTTGAGGGAGAGGTTGTTATCCTGGCACCACACGGCCAGGTCTCGGACCTCCTCCCTTTAGGCTGTCTCATCGTTGTCGGTGATCAGGCCTATCACTGTTGTGTCGTCAGCAAACTTAATGATGGTGTTGGAGTCGTGCCTGGCCATGCAGTCATGGGTGAACAGGGAGTACAGGAGGGGACTGAGCACGCACCCCTGAGGGGCCCCGTGTTGAGGATCAGCGTGGCAGATGTGTTGTTACCTACCCTTACCACCTGGGGGCGGCCCATCAGGAAGTCCAGGATCCAGTTACAGAGGGAGGTGTTTAGTCCCAGGATCCTTAGCTTAGTGATGAGCTTTGAGGGCACTATGGTATTGAACGCTGAGCTGTATTAATTGAACAGCATTCTCACGTAGGTGTTCCTCTTGTCCAGGTGGGAAAGGGCAGTGTGGAGTGCAATAGAGATTGCATCATCTGTGAATCTGTTGGGGCGGTATGCAAATTGGAGTGGGTCTAGGGTTTCTGGGATAATGGTGTTGATGTGAGCCATGACCAGTCTTTCAAAGCACTTCATGGCTACAGACATGAGTGCTACGGGTCGGTAGTCATTTAGGCAGGTTATCTTAGTGTCCTTGGGCACAGGGACTATGGTGGTCTGCTTGAAACATGTTGGTATTACAGACTCAGTCAGGGACATGTTGAAAATGTCAGTGAAGACACTTGCCAGTTGGTCAGCACATGCTTGGAGTACACGTCCTGGTAATCCGTCTGGCCCTGCGGCCTTGTGAATGTTGACCTGCTTAAAAGTCTTACTCACATTGGCTACGGAGAGTGTGATCGCATAGTCATCCGGAACAGCTGGTGCTCTCATGCATGCTTCAGTGTTGCTTGCCTCGAAGCGAGCATAGAAGTGATTTAGCTCGTCTGGTAGGCTTGTGTTACTGGGCAGCTCGCGGCTGTGCTTCCTTTTGTAGTCTAATAGTTTTCGAGCCCTGCCACATCCGACGAGTGTCAGAGCCGGTGTAGTACGATTCAATCTTAGTCCGGTATTGACTCTTTGCCTGTTTGATGGTTCGTCGGAGGGCATAGTGGGATTTCTTATAAACGTCCGGGTTAGAGTCCCGCTCCTTGAAAGCGGCAGCTCTACCCTTTAGCTCAGTGCGGATGTTGCCTGTAATCCATGGCTTCTGGTTGGGGTATGTACGTACGGTCACTGTGGGGACGACGTCATCGATGCACTTATTGATGAAGCCAGTGACTGATGTGGTGTACTCCTCAATGCTATCGGAAGAATCCTGGAACATATTCCAGTCTGTGCTAGCAAAACAGTCCTGTAGCTTAGCATCTGCATCATCTGACCACTTTTTTATTAACCGAGTCTCTGGTGCTTCCTGCTTTAGTTTTTGCTTATAAGCAGGAATCAGGAGGATATAGTTATGGTCAGATTTGCCAAATGGAGGGTGAGGGAGAGCTTTGTACGCGTCTCTGTGTGTGGAGTAAAGGTGGTCTAGAGTTTTTTTCCCCTCTGGTTGCACATTTAACATGCAGGTAGAAATTAGGAAGAACAGATTTGTTTCCCTGCATTAAAGTCCCCGGCCACTAGGAGTGCTGCCTCTGGATGAGCGTTTTCCTGTTTACTTATGGCCTTATACAGCTCATTGAGTGCAATCTTAATGCCAGCATCGGTTTGTGGTGGTAGATAGACAGCTACGAAAAATATAGATGAAAGGTCTCTTGGTAAATAGTGTGGTTTTCAGCTTATCATGAGATACTCTACCTCAGGCGAGCAAAACCTTGAGACTTCCTTAGTATTAGATTTTGTGCACCAACTGTTGTTTACAAATATACACAGACCGCCACCCCTTGTCTTACCGGAGTCAGCCGTTCTATCCTGCCGATGTAGCGTATATCCCGTCAGCTGTATGTTGTCCATGTCGTCGTTCAGCCACGACTCGGTGAAAAATAAGATATTACAGTTTTTAATGTCCCGTTGGTAGGATAACCGTAATCTTAGGTCATCCAATTTGTTCTCAAATGATTGAACATTGGCTAATAGGATTGATGGAAGAGACAGTTTACTCGCTCGCCGTCGGATCCTTACAAGGCACCCTGGCCAAAGTCCACGATATCTCTGTCTCTTTCTCATGCGAATGACGGGGATTTGGGCCTTGCCGGGTGTCTGTAGGATATCCTTCGCGTCCGGCTCGTTGAAGAAAAAATCTTCGTCCAATACGAGTTGAGTAATCGCTGTCCTGATATCCAGAAGCTCTTTTTGGTCATAAGAGACGGTGGCAGAAACATTATGTACAGAATAAATTACAAATAACGCGAAAAAACACACATAATAGTACAATTGGTTAGAGGGCTGGACCATCTGAGATGATAATAATAATAAAAAGGGGACAGTTTGATGAAAAAGCATTAAATAAAGGTTAAAATCCAGGTTGTGACATGATTAACCAAAACGTAGGGCCCTAACTATGAGGTGTGTGTGTGTTAATGCGCGCTTGTGTTTTAAGAAGAGGGAATTTTGTCAATGAACTCACTACCAGCAATGAGTGGTTGTTTCTTCACATTATATTGACACTGCCATCTAGAGGATGTGGTATGGAAGTGTGACACACGTATGGAAACACAGCTATTTCACAAGACAAGCAAAGCTCTATTGAAATGATACTTTTACTTTATTCATATAATTGAAACATAAACTATGCACATATTCCTGGTCAATTATAATAGATTGGCAGCTTTGATGTCTCCTGTGGTCTTCTGTCTCTGTTTTGGAAAATAACCACTATACTTTATTACAAATAAGGTCTGACAGAGTTTTTGTTGCATCAAGAAATTACTTTATTAAAGTTTTCAACAAAGCCGATACCAGTCTGCAGAGTGGCACACTGTTCTCCCTCCCTCACGTCACATTATATACCATCATCCCCAACTCTTCTAGCTCTAAATCCCTCCCTCTTCAGTTTCCCGCTCTTCATCACTCCACACCCCTTTGTCCCTGAGGACGGCTGAACTATCACTCCAACCAATCACTCGCTCCCCTGTCTTGCACACACACTCATGTTTAGTTTAAACATGACGAGGCCCTAATCTTGAATCATACACAAACCTCACCCCATCATGCTGTAATCAATCAAGAAGATACCAAGGAGACAAAGGTCTAGCCCAAACTCTATTCAACCCTGGTGCCGCTCCCTTCACTGTGTTTGAAGAGAGAGACAAAAGGCCACAAGCTAGTTTCAGTCTCTCATCAGATAAGACAGCCATGGATTTAAGTAAGAGCAAGCAATTTGACCCTAGGGCAGATTTCCTCTCTACTCCCCCACACACACAGTGAAATACCCCAACCAAATTCCTAGCCCAGTAACAAACAATTCCAACTCAATGTTCGTGATTAACCCAGTTCTATCTCCTAATTCATTAAAGAATACACATCATCTCCTCATTTGGCTGAGGGAAAGAAAGCACAAACCTGTTACAGCCTCTTAATAACTT